TTGTTTTTCATCTGGTTTTAATTTTATGTTGAGAAGTGATTGCATTCGTGTTAGTTTCCGAATCGTTTTCAGCAAAATAACATCTCAAATTTCAAAATTGATTGAAAAAAATTAAATTACAAAAACCATTATCGATGTTTATGGATAGTTCCTCTCTGTTAAGGTTAGACGAATCGTGTCTGGGGCTATAAACCCGACCTAAAAAGCTTTCTTTCCCAACTCATCTCTCTCTCCTTCACTACACTGAGAATCCAAAATCGCTTTTTAGAAAATTCCAATGGCGAAGACGGAGGTAGAAGAACGGAATCGTACTCTTCGACTGAGGAAGAAAAACCGAAGGATCCGTTCGAAATTCCCTCCGGTAAGAAAACTCCAAAATCTTTCTGAAAATTGTAATCTCTCTTCCTGGAGAATAACCTTCGTTTTCTTTTCCCCACTGTTCAGATTCTTGGTCGTACTCTGAAACTGAGACGGCCGTGGCTCTTAGCCCGAGCGAAAAAGGATGATAAAAAGATTGGAAACAAGTCCAGTTACCAAACAATATTGATTGAAGAAGACGAGATAGTTGTCTCACAAGGTTTGATTGATTTCAAACTTGATAAAGGCAAGTCTATGTATGAAGATGAGATGGGATTTTATGATTTCGTCATTAGATCTCTTAACAATGAGGTAAGTCTTTCTCTGTTAATAGAGAAAGTTAAGAGCTTTTGAAGATGAAGTATATGGATAAATGGAAGAATTGTGTAGAAGAACCGAGTTTTAGTAAGGCTCATGATCGGAAATGTTTTGAATTGGCTAAGTTTATTTGGGGTGGTTCTGATGATGATGGTATGGCTATTGACTCTTTTAAAGCTCATTTGTTTGAGAAATCTTTTCTTGTTCGAGAAATCGCCTATGAGTGAATATTTAGTGAAAGAAAGATGGAACATGGAGTCTACTGAGACCAAGATGAGAATTGAAGAGAAATTGAGAGTGTTGGAGGCAAAAGAAGTCCAATTTCGAATTGAGATGGTGGAGCAAAAGGCAAACCTTTTGAAGGAAGTGGTCTCTGCCATGCTTGAAACAGTAAACTCATAGATGTTTATGGAGAATGCAATGCCTCTTTTGTTTTCTCCAACTGTGGATTTACCCTTAGGACTCTCTAGCTTTTTTTGCAGGATCTTTCTATCTACAACTTTCTGGTTTCTTTTGGTATGAACTTCAATGATTCTCAAGCCAAACACTTTTGCCTTAATTTGGACTTGGTTAATCATTGTTTAATCTAATTATTATTGTTTGAATTGAATGTAATGAGCAGATTGGAATGTGAGATTTCTATTTTTTTCGTTAACATTTGGGATCAAGTTAGTTTACATTCGTGTTTTGGTTTCTAAGGGTGTGGTACTGACGTATTTGTCTACAACAATAATACCAATGCAACAATCGCCCTTTTTATTTTATTTTCTGTTACAAACCAGTTCAACTGCCAAGTCTTATATAGTCATTTACAGTAACCAATACAAGAAAACAATATAACACCTTCCAAATTTAGGTTTTTCTAGTTGAAGAAACTTAAAACTCATAAGAATCTTACAAAAATAAAGGGAAGATTTCACATAAGATATGAGAGGAAAACACAAAACAAAAGAGATGATGATGCAGATCATAAAGAAACTCTAATGACTCGACCATGTTTGAGTTAGGACGATAACGATGTTGCAGAGAGCAGCGAGCAATGCGTATTCATGGTGGTGGGTCAGCCATATACGCACCAAACAATCCAAATGGCTTGAACACAATCTCCAAGGTACATTCCTTCATGTTCTTGGTTATGTAACGTTTCACATATCATATTCTCAATGCAAAGAAACAGAGAGTATAATAAAGGCTGATTTGAGTTGTTTCTGAAATGCTCAACTTTGCTAGATATGGAAGAGAAGGTACGTTACACACTCAAGATCATTAATGAAGATGGAGACACTTTTGCGAAAAGGGCTGAAATGTATTACCGTAAAAGGCCAGAGATTGTTAATTTCGTGGAGGAAGCCTTTCGATCATACCGTGCATTAGCAGAACGATATGATCATTTGTCAACAGAACTTCAAAGTGCAAACCACATGATTGCTACTGCTTTCCCTGAACATGTTCAGTTTCCTCTTGG